CAACAGTTGACAAGAAGGTGTGAGTAACAGCAGGGGAAAAATTAGCATGGGGAGATAGTTTTTACTTTGTGTAATGACCCATCCACTCCCAGTCTTTATTCAAGCCTAATTTAATGGTATCCAGTTTGCAAATTAATTCCAGTTCTGCAGTTTCTCGTTGGAGTCTGTTTTTGAGGTTTCTTTGTTGGAGTATTGCGACTTTTAGGTCTGTAACTGAGTGACCAGGGAGGTTGAAGTATTCTCTGACTGGTTTTTGAATGTTATAATTCTTGACGTCTGATTTGTGTCCATTTATTCTTTTGCGTAGAGCCTATTGTCTCATACTATAGAATTAGAATTTATAATCCCTATTCCATGATGAGATATCTTTGAGCTATAATGTATCTTAATTAAAACTATCTTTAGATAGGTTATTTTCCTGAAAAATCTGATTTAAATAAAAATCCATTTTTAATTTTTTTTTTTTTTTTTTAAAAAATCACTGATTTTTATCTACCCTGAGAGAGAACTTCGCTCATAGCAGTGTTTCTCAGCCCGTGGGCCACTTGTGGCCCAATCAGCACACAGCTGCAGCCCATGTGACATCCTCAGGGCCATACAGGTAGTATATATATTGTGTGGATGTGGCCCTCAATGGTAAATAGGTTGAGAGCCACTGGCTTGTAGCTCATAGCTATCCATGTCCTTGCTTTTGTCAGTTTAACTCATTCGTAGCACTACTGTAACATATTTTTGAAGATTAACATGCAGTTTGTTAATATGGAGGCACACACTAAAGTAGATTGAATGCCCTGGGGACAAATCTCCCTTCCCCCCCCCATCACACAGGCTGTGGTCAACACCCATTGATCTCAGTGAGTATTACTCATATCCTGCAGGGGAGACAATCAGACCCCAGAATTGTGACAGTGCCTTGAAGCAAGGCAGTTACAGTGAATCCCTATTCATATCTATTCTGGAGGAGCTGAAAAGGATTTAGATTAGAGTATTCCACTGTATAATGCTTTTTTACCATTTTTTCCATGCAATCATTAAACTCATTAATGTGTGCAAGATAGGAAACCACTGCATGAACCAGACACATGCTAGCATTATTTATCCTGTTTCATCAGTAAACTAACAGTTGCATTTTGAAAGATGACTTCTCCTGTTCCTAGTTGTTTCCTCTTGCCCTGTTTCACTGTCTTAAACCTCTTAAGTCGTCAATCAGTTAATATGACAGGAACCCCGTAGGTTATGTTTGTTCATGGTAGACATGCCTTCTTTCATTAGTCCAGTTCTAACTGCAGCATCTAACGGTTCAGCCATGGCAGAACATTATATGATATAGTGGGACTCTGAACCACTAAAAGGAGGTGCTTCTGTTACTCAATTAGAATAGACATTAAAAGAGAGGAAAAAAGTTTACTTAAAAAAGGGCAGCGTCTCTTTTCCTGTACTGATTTTTGCAGTTCCCTCACCATTTTAAGACTCAGGAGCATTCCCTTCTCTGCATACGGAGAGACTCTTGGCAAGAGGCTAAGAGCTGTGTGCTGATCCATTTGGTATTCATGTTGGAAGAGAAGATGGTTAAAGATGTTGATGTCAAGAATACACAAGACATTTAAATGTTTCAGAGACACAAATCAGAAATTGTAAATTTGCCACTGTGACATCTCAGCCCTGATGTATGAAAATTCTTTTTATTAGCTCATTTAATCATTGCTACTTTTTAATGCTTATTAAAGATTTTCCTGTAACTCTAATTTCCCTTTAGTTATTTTTGTTTTTTTGCCAGTATTACCAAGCTTTTCTTTGAGCCTTATCAGACAGTTTAATTCTCAAAATTAATAGCTTCACCAATTAAAAATGTTTACAGTTCTGCTTTGTCGTCATTAATTATTCCTCCCAGTGCAGGTTAATTAATAAGAGATTGAATCTTACTCATTCCCTCTCTCAGGAAGCTGCCCAACTAAGCCAATGCTAACAGGTTTAATCCCAAGGGTCTCATATTTTGCAGTGATATTGAATTTTAGCAATCAGATATGGCCATTAAATGGTCAAGCCCAACATGAATGATACATTTATATAATTGTGTATAATTGCACTATCTATCTTTGCAGAACTTTTTATGGGATGTATATAAACAAGTATATTTCAAAATTATGATGGAAATCAGAATGCATTTTGAAATGCACCCTTATAGAATCTTAAGTACTTCACTGCACATTGAACTTCGGTAAGCAAAAATTACAGTCAGCTGCCCAATAGCTCCATAAATTTTACCAGTTAGTAACAGACATGGCTAATCTATTATCACAAGTAAGCATTCTTCTAAATGAACAGGAAAATCAGTTAACAATTCCTGTTAACATACCTTCACTGCTCTTTTGCACCAGCACATTTTGGGCACAGCAACAATCTATAAAACTAGGAGAGTCAATGAGTTAGAGTGCAGCACAACAAAATTGAAGGATGTAATCTTTCTCCAATTGAAGTAAACAGGAGTTTTGCTTTTGAATTTGAATTGAAGTTGAATTTATTGGAAGCAGGATTGGGCTAAAAATGTGTGTGATCTTCTCACCAATTGGTCTTTAGCAACTGAAATATAAACAATATAAATTGATAGGGAGTTAGCTTCTGAGACAGTACAAGATCACTACTTACACATGGAATGACAGATAGTGGAGCTAGACAAGATGTGATGGGGCATCCTGTCCATTGCTCTGATAATTTAACATTTTTCCTTACAGTGTATTATTGAAAGCTTCTTCTAGTCCAGTTTTAAATTGCTTGAACAATGGGGCATCAACCACTCCTCTTGGCCTGTATCCTAGCGTGCAATAGCCCCTGCTACTAGGACATGATATTCAGCCTAAATTTTCCTGTGAGCTAATTGTAGTATTCAAGATAAAAGGGTGAGATCCTGGCTCCACTTAAATCAATGAGAATTTTGCCATTGATTTCAGCAGGGTCAGGATTTCATTCTAAATCTCTTTGGGCCAGATTTTCAAAGTTATTTACATACCAAAATATGTGGCTAAACATCTGTGGGGGGGAGGTTTTCAGGGGGGGGATTTAGACTGAGTGTTGCAGTGCCTAAATTTTATGTGCCCTGCTTCATAGGCACTGGCTCCAGGGCTGGAGCACCCACGGGAAAAAAATAGTGTGTGCTCAGCACCCACTGGCAGCCCAACTGATCAGCTCCTCCCCTTCCCTCCCAGTGCCTCCCACCTGCTGCGATCAGCAGAGGTGGGGCCTTTGGAGAAGGGGTGGAATGGGAGCAGGGCCTGGGCTGGAGCAGGGATTGAGCACCCCCAGGGAAAGTGGAAAGTCAGCGCCTCTGCCCTGCCGCCAAGTGGAATTTACAACCCCAAGTTAGGCACCCAGGCTCCCCGTAAAGTGCATTGGGCGCTTATAAAAGGGATTAACAGAAGCCAGCATGCTGAGGGGGGAGCTGCGTAAACTCTCCAGCAGGAAAGACTGAGAAGAAGGGTGTGTCCTAAGCTCCACCTCTCATAGAGAAAAAAGAATGAGGAGGCTTTATGGCACCTTAGAGACTAACAAATTTATTTGGGCATAAGCTTTCATGGGCTAAAACCCACTTCATCAGATGCATAAACCTTTCATAGAGAGTTAGGTGCCTACATTTGGGGTGCAGGGAGGTGCCGCCACCTGCTGGAGAGTCACAGCCATGAACTTTCTCATAGGTACTTAAACCAGGTCAGTTATTTGTCAAGAAAACCAGAGGAGGAGATGGTGCCACTAGTACTCCCCTGCTCTTATCTCTAATAGCCCAGTGGTTAGAGTCCTCACCCAGGATGTGAGCAACCAAGATTCCAGTCCCATCTCTGCCTGCTTTAACAAAGTACATGCTGCCCGTTCAAATAATTCAGTAGTCGTTGGAGGAGGGACATAGGTCTCCCACATCCCAGAGGGGCACCCTAATTACTAGGCCTGAGAGTCATTCTCCCTTTTTTTTCTTCTGGCCCAATGAATATTTAATTATTTATACAAAGTGGAATGGCTTCATCAGGAGAGACTGAGACACCCCCCGCTGTCCCCGACCTAAATATTCCATGGTTCAGTGAGTAGGGCAGCCTCCTGAGAGATCTGAGATGTGGATTCAGATCCCTGCTCTACCTCAGGCAGAGAGGGGAAGTGAACTGGAGTCTCCTGCGTGAGTGCCCGAATCACTGAGCTAAAGGTTGGGGAAAGGGGCACTGCTGCCTTCTTCTCTGGCAGTGGTGTTTGGTAGGGGGTCCAATCTGTCAGGTGGCCTGAGAAAGCTTTCCACACAGAGCTCCACAGGCAGCACAAAGCCTATGCACCTGCAACAATTGGTGGTAGCTGCGTGGACAGGTTGAGGATCAAAATTTTAGAATTAGGCGCCTAAAATGGCAGATAGGCGCCTGAACCCCTTTGTGGATCTGGCCCCTACGGACTTCAGGTGCCTACAATTTTAGATGGCAGCTGAGCCAGGGTTTTGTGAATGCTAGTGGCACCCAAAAGGGCAGTTGGGCACCTAAGTCAGCCATGTGAATCCCACCCCCATCAAGATTTGTCAGATGCGCCAAAGCAGATTAGGTGCCTAAATCGCATTGATTTCAAAGGAGTTAGGCCCCTCCCCTGCTTTTGAAAATCCCACTAGACATCTAGCTGCGTCTTTGGGCACCTAAATACCATTGAAAATCTGGCCCTTTTATTACGGCACTGTAAATACACGACAGAATGTCTTTAAAGGTAAACATAGGATAGTAAATTATATTATGGCTTTTGCATTTTAGTAGTCCGGGTATTTTTAAACAGTCATTTTATATGACTTGGAATGATGTGAATTGCTGATATATGAGGAAGGAGGATTTATAAATGGAAAATATTCAAATAGACATTTTACTAGTGAATTTTATTGTGACGGTTGTTAACAGCTTGGGATCTAGCCTGTAGTCATTTCCTATATTTTAAAAATATATTTCAGACAGTGTCCGTATTAAAAATGTGTTCACTTTTCTCCCATACAGGTAGCTTCTCTTGGAGTCACTACGTTCACACTATGTGCCCTCTGTATAGACCGATTTCGTGCTGCCACTAATGTACAGATGTATTATGAGATGATTGAAAACTGTACTTCAACAACTGCCAAACTGGCCGTTATATGGGTTGGTGCTCTGTTGTTGGCACTTCCAGAGGTTGTTTTACGCCAGTTGACAAAGGAAGACTCTCCATTTAGTGGCAGCCCACCAGGGGAACGGTGCGTGGTAAAGATCTCTACTGAATTACCTGATACCATTTATGTATTAGCTCTCACATATGATGGTGCAAGACTCTGGTGGTATTTTGGCTGCTACTTTTGTTTGCCTACTCTTTTCACTATTACCTGTTCTCTGGTAACAGCAAGGAAAATCAGACGAGCAGAGAAGGCTTGCACACGAGGGAACAAGCGACAAATTCAGCTGGAAAGTCAGATGAACTGCACAGTGGTGGCTTTGACCATTTTGTATGGGTTTTGCATCATTCCTGAAAACATTTGCAACATTGTGACTGCATACATGTCCACAGGAGTCTCCCGGCAGACTATGGATCTCCTCCATCTCATTAGCCAGTTTCTTTTGTTCTTTAAGTCCTGTGTGACCCCAGTCCTCCTTTTCTGTCTTTGCAAACCGTTCAGTCGGGCCTTTATGGAATGTTGCTGTTGTTGCTGTGATGAATGCATACAGAAGTCTTCAACGGTAACAAGCGATGACAATGACAATGAGTACACCACAGAGCTTGAACTCTCCCCTTTCAGTACCATCCGTCGTGAAATGTCCACCTTTGCTTCGGTTGGGACTCACTGCTAATCGACTCTGTGGCTTTATTTGCAGTACCCCTGTTGTTTTTTTTAAACGTCATATTTTTCTTGTTGGAACAAAATGCAAGGAAAAAATGTTGCTTCTAAGAACTACCCTGTAAACCGATTTGCATATTAACACTTGTGCTTTGGAAAATAATTTCTGTTGAGTTATTAAAATGAGAGAGCCAACATGGAGTTTTAAATCATTGTATTTGGGATGGTGCTCGTATTCTATTGTTTGAGGTAGCGGGGCAACCACGTCGACCTACTTTATTTAATTCCTTGCTAATTTTTTTATAATCACTGTAAATTGATTACATAAACGTGATTTTTTGAAAGATGTTTAATGTAAAAGATGTGGTGGAAAGTATTTGAAGCTAGTTTTAATCCAATTTACTGTACAATATTGTGAGAATATTTGGAGTCTGGGAAATTTACAAGGTAGTATAATAATAAATGAGATTTTATTCTTTAATCTCATTGTCAATCTGTATTTTACCATTTAAATATTATTAATTTGCCTTAATAAGGATAAAAATCTTTGCTTTACCCAGAATAATTTAAATTGACCATATTTAATTTACCATTCACGTACTTACCCTTGGAGGTAGTAGTTACCATGTTTAAAGAAGATGCTTACAATGGAATTAGCTTTACATGAGTGGTTTTTAAATGTGCATTATGAAGGTTCAATGTGCTACATTTAAAATTTCCTTTTAAAACTTGTAGTTATACAGTGCCTAAGTTACTTTGGTCTATTTGAGAAGTAAGATTTGCTTTCACCTTGATTTGTATTATGTGTGGCTTCATTTGCTGAGTTTCTTTTCACTTTTTTCTACACTAAGGACATGCCCTCAATCTGCAAGTGTAACTCCTAGTGGCATCCATGAGAGTCCCACCACAGAGCTAGGGTATTATTTTGCCATAGGGTTGGTGACAATAAACATGAGGGACTGGAAGATGTGGAGAGTGAATTCCTTTTTTTAAAACACAAATGCATTTTCAGACACACAGGGCCTGATCCAAAGCCCATTGAAGTCAATGGAAATATTCCTGTTGATTTCAGTGGGTGTCTGATCAGGCCCACATTCCCTAAGTATTCTGGGATATGCAGCATGAATGTTAGAAGTGGATACGCTGTAAACAAATCATGAGTATTAATTATGTATTTTTCATGGAGGCCACAATCCTCTACAGGCTTGCACTTCACAACCTGTTTTTTAAGAACCATGTTGTGTTTGTCTGATTGTTTCTTTCTGTCTACAGACCTGTTAAACTAGGAAATTGAATTTATTATTTAAACCATTGTTTTCTCAAGTGACAAAATGAGCATATTTTTGTCCTCTGAAATAAAGTGTGGGTATACCTAATATAGTCCACCTTCTACAGACTCTTTAAATGTCTTGGCAAAATTGATGTGACTTCTGAAAAGAAAAAGAGATTTTCCTTTATGTGGAGTATGCTAGATTTTATACCTTTACTTTGTATATCAGTGTGGGAAAAAATAATTCCTCATTACTTTCACTTAAACATACACCAAATTCAGCAGAAAAGGTACTTATTCTGTGTATGTGTCCACTCTATTCCTTGTATCTGTTAAAATTGGACAACCATTATTGCATTAGGCCCTGATTAATCAAGCTATTTTAAGCATGTGAATAATCCCATTGACTATAGATAGGCACATGCTTAAATACTTGCTGAATCAGGACCCATGTTCTCCCGCTGTTTTGTACTGTGGTCAATCACATCTGTAGACAAGAGATCCTTTTGTAGACATTTCCTTTCCCAATTCCCTTTCTATACACTATATGGAAGCTAGAGTGCTTGATTACATGAAATAAATTATGGACAGTATTAAGCAAACAAGATGAAAATAAATTTATTTAATGTGATGGTGGCAGCTGCTTGGTTACATGTCCCCATTCCCACATTTTGTTTGTGCTGTCTATTTCTCCTCTTGTGCTTCAAGAGTCAAAATTTACACTGTACATTTGTTCTAAACTATCACTTTGCAGTCTGAATTTGTTTCTGTTTGCAACCCCTCTCCCATTTTGGTGAAGACTGTGGTTAAATGTACCCCTAAGAGGTATCTGAAAAAAGAGACTGGGAACAAGAGCACAGGATGCAGAGAGATGCTATGTATTTAAAGTTTAGTTGTTCAAAAAATCACTTGAAAACTTTTATATCATTATATTTATATAATTTTGGGTGCAATACTGTGCAGTACAGCACAGAGCTGCAATTCCGCAGGGAGAGATGAGGGCACATTATGCCTCCATTTCTCCTCTAGCTTTACAGCCTACATTGGGAGTGTATAAACTGCACTGGGAAATACCATTTTCCCCCTAGATGTTCAAAGCTATATATCCCATATAGCCAATCCACTGAGCTATCCTTCCCCACTGACACATTTCCATACTATACATTAATTCTTCCAGAAATATTGTAAAATAAAAAAATATCAAAATACTGACAAGAGAAGACACATGAATGGGTAGTATTTGAAAATCAGTAGCAATTGTATGGCTAACATCCCACTTACCACTTTGAAAATGCACAGTGATACCTCTGGCTTCAGACAGAGGTGGGGAGGGATAGCTCAGTGGTTTGAGCATTGGCTTGCTAAACCCAGGGTTGTGAGTTCAATCCTTGAGGGTGCCATTTGGGATCTAGGGCAAAGATGGGGGATTAGTTCTGCTTTGAGCAGGGGTTTGGACTAGATGACTTTCTGAGGTCTCTCCCAACTGTGAGATTCTATGATTCATTGTGTAAGGTTTAATCTTTCTTTTTGTGCTGCTGAAAAGAACATTGTTTAAGCTTGTTTCCAGCTACTGTCTTGGTCCAAAATAGTTGTTGGACACTGGTGTGGCCCTTTTATTCTCATTTGCATTCTAAATTGATTAAACTTGTTCCACGTTAACAGGTTTTCATTGTTCAAGAGGCATAATATAGTGATTGTGACAGAAGTGTGGCTTGTTAGTGCATGTAGGTGTAAAATGGTAAATGAGTTCTTTGTTTGCTGAAAAGAATAGGTACTGTATTTTTTCCTATCCTAATGCCAGGATTGCCCTTCAGAAATAGCTTTCATTTTCTTAGGGTATTTTTTTCTTCGTCACTTTTTTTCACTCACCAATATTTCCTTGACTTTTTATCCTAAGAATTTCTAGAAGTATCCATGCCTGCATATTTTACATGTTAATTGAGCAAAAGAATGAGATAACTCGCAGGATTGCTCTGGGGACACAGAAACTTTCACATCATGGTCTTTATTCTCCATTCCACTAAACTGCCTTTACATCCCTATAACTCCATTGAAAACACAAAAAACAATAGTGCCTGCATGCCTGCTGAGGGGAGGAGGCACAATTTAAAGGTTCACCTTCCTCCCAACAGCTTGAGTCATGCCCTCCCTCTTACTCTCTGGCCCAATCCTGCAGCTCCCAGGTGCTAGCTCTCCATGGAGAGGCAGGGACAAACAGCTGGGAACTGCAGGGAGGGGCTGCTGCTTTAGCTCCCTGGGGAGAGGCAGCAGCAAAAGCAGCAGCTCTCCCTGAAGCTCCCAGCTGTTTGCTGCTGCCTCTCTCCACAGCCACAGCTCCCAGCTTGCAGCTCCAGCGGGAGGGGGTCCAGCAGCACCATGTGACCGAGCAGGGCCTGTGTGTTGTCTCTGACTTCTGCCCAGTAGGGAGAGGCCTCCGCAGGGCCAAAGCCCGGAGACCCAGCAGGCACGCCCTGGCTCTTGAACTTCTGAAGATTGTCATATGCGGCTCAGAGGGTTAGTCAGTTTGGACACCCCTGTGATCGAGGTCTATAAAACCATGACTGGGTGTGGAGAAAGTGAGTAAAGAAGTGTTATTTATCCCTTTACATAACATACATTTCATAGGGGGTCACCCAATGAAATGAATAGTCAGCAGGTTTAAAACAAACAAAAGGAAGTGTTTCTTCACACAATGCACAGTCAACCCATAGAACTCCTTGCACGGGCACATTGTGAAGGCCAAACCTATAACTGGGGTAAAAAAAGAACCAGATAAGTTCATGGAGGAGAGGTCCTTCAATGGCTATTAGCCAAGATGGTCAGGGAGGCAATCCTATGCTCTGGGTGGGATCACTCGATAATTGCCATGTTAATTCCCTCAGAAGCACCTGGCATTGGCCTCTGTTGGAAGACAGGATATTGGGTTAGATGGACCATTGATCTGACCTAGTATGGACATTCGTATGTTCTTATCAGCCCATAGCCTAAATAAACAAGGTAGACAAATGATGTCTGCATCCCCTGTTTAGAGAAGGAGAACTGAGAAGCTAGGGCCCAGATCCACAAAGGTACCGAGGTGTTGCAATACTTAACCCGTAGGCTTCCTGATGCCTAGTGGAATTTTCTGCCCTGAGTTAAATGCTTAAACTCTCCATACAGTGCTCTGCTCAGAAGCCAGCCAGCTGAGCTGGGAGGCACCTAGTCAAGGGGGAAATGTTGAGGAAAGGCATGGATGGGGCTTAGGCCCAGATCCTCAAAGATATTTAGGCTCCTCCCATTAATCTCAGAGGATTGTTGCTGTGGGGCCAGAGATTAGCAACTTCTTCCCATTTGGACCCTCAGCCAGGAACCCTCTCTTGGGGTTAGGCACTGAAGCTAGGTCAGACTTTTCTCATGAAAAAACAAGAGAGAAAGAAAGAGACCATCTCTTCCCAGTACAAGTTGCTTGGTGCTCAGGCCAGTCACCTGGGCTGTAGGAGACCCAGGTTCAATTTCCTGCCTGAATTAAAGTAGGGATTTGAAACCCAGGTCTCCCACATCCGAGGTGAGTCCCACAACCACCACACACCAAATTAGGCCCAGCTGGTGAGAGACAAAAAAATCCATTCCTGTCTAGTTTGAGAATCCCAGTTTGGCTTGCACTGGGGCTTTAAGCAGCTTGTTGGCTGTAAGGTGGCATCAAGACTTAGGTGGCTTTGCAAATGCCTAACAGTGGAAACGTAGACAGCAACTGAGTGATGCTTTTGAGAATGTCAGTGGCACCCAAATGTTGGACTTAGGCACCTCAGTGGTTTTGTGACTATGGATCCAATGACCTGTTTAAGGTCATAAAGGGAATCTATAGAAGAGCTGGAGATTGAACCCAAAAGTCCTGAGGTCCTGTTCTATGTTTTATCCACAACACCGTCCTCCTTCTTTTTAGCAGGGCGTTAAACAACTAGCATGATGGTATTTTTCTATAGATTGCAGACATGTTGTTTAAAAGAAAAGTGGTAACTAGTGGTTGTCTACAATAATGTCTCCTTTTTCTTTCCTCCAGCGGTGCTGAGGTCAGTCAAAGTGAATGTGCAGAGTATATGAAGCATGTGCACAAAAGTCTTCTCCGTGTGTTTTCTTATACTTCAAGAACTGGCCTTATTCACCGTTACCTTGCACCTTGTGGAGTCATTTTACACCTGTATAATGGGTGTAAACCACTGCCAGTCTTTCCC